CGCCCCTTGTAATCATTTTTTAAGTATTGGCATTTAACCCTATTTTATGTCACAGTCATTTCTGATTTCAGTTGATAATGATGGTTATAAAATGGCGATTACGGTTTGTATTAACGATTGTACAATTAATTTCAAATTCAAAAACCTGTTCAATTATGTATGTATGTTCATATCTATACGAAGCAATCAAAAACCAGTCATTGATAAGTACAATTATTATATCATGGCAAAAAACGAACTCTGTAAATTAATGTAGTTTCCATTTACTGCTTCACGAAAGAACCCGGATGCCCCGTTAGAGCTGTAAAGATGAATTTGAAACTCAAGAACTGACTTGAACCAAAACATCTTTCACATCGTTATTTTGAAAGCTTAACGCAAACGGTAGTTCATTTTGTTAACAGATCTCTACTGTGGTGCCACCTGGGATGGATTTTACTGCTGGCCGCCTACACCTCCTGGACAAATAGTTTCTAAGACTTGTGATTCGATATTTGCAAGTTACCAACTTCTTGTTTTTTCTGACTCTGACGATCAAGGTATGGCCCACCTTCTCAAATATTTAATCAACAGTTGCTATTATCTTATGTTTATTAAAATTGATGTATTTAACTATTACAATAACCCAACTCATCAAAGTTAATACGTGTAAGTTGTGCAGGTTTTAATGAAACGCGAATTCCTGTAATGGTCCTGAAAGACGTCTAGTTTTCTATTGACTCCACGACCCCTAAGATGATTTCTTTGGTACAAATAATTTTCAACATAACACTGAAATGTCTGTACGTTGTGAAGTACAAGGGAAATATTACGTCTTTCAGCATTTCCCAAAAACTTAATGATGCAAAGGCTTTCCAGAATACTGAGATGTAACCAGGCGCTCCAATTGGCCAATTTGAACTTATTAGAGCGATGGTCTGAAGTTCCGTTATTGTAACGAGAAAAAATATGCTGAAGACTTTCACTGAGAAAGAAAATTATTTGTGCAAAAGAAAACAACAACAAAAACTATCATATGTACTTTTCAAAACTCATATGCTTAATATATTATTTCCGCTTTACTTTTGATAAGCAAATAATTTATAACATAACAACATATATCATTTTCCCAAAATATATGCCCCTCAGTGGCACAGCGGTATATCTGCGGACTTACAACGCTAGAATCCGGGTTTCGATACCCGTGGTGGGGGAAGAGCACAGATAGCCCATCGTGTAGCTTTGTGCTTAACTTCAAACAACCAAACCCAACCAACCAAACCCCCAGTGGCACAGCGGTATGTATGCGGATTTACAACGCTAGAAACCGGGGTTCGATACCCGTGGTCGGGAGAGCACAGATAGCTCATCGTGTAGTTTTGTGCTTAACTTAAATATATATATTTGCATCGACCATTGCCATCCCTCTTTTCTTCTAAAATACTAATATCAAACCACATATTCTTGAAATAAATAAATAAATAAAGAATTAATATCGTTTTGCATTCTGTCAACTTTTTTTCTAGAATCATAAAAAAATATCAAAGTATATGTATGTATATATATATATACCTTAGTTAATTAGATGATGATTGGTATATATATATAAACGTCAGTTCAAGATATCAGAGAGAGACTAAGTTTTATCCAATGTTATAGAACACGCTTACCGAATTTGCCGAGACGATGGAACTTGGTTGTGGGGAAACTGGACAAATTATACCGAATGCCTGGGACTTCTATCTTCAGTAAGTTTTTAATAATGAATAACATTTTACCATGTGAATTTCTAGCCTAAGTTAGTTCTATTAACGTATTCCATTAAACACCAGAGTGAGATTTTAGATATAAGTTAGACTTGGTACAGTTTAATTTTTACATCCTTCAGTAAACATAATATTATAAAGATGTTTGTTTCGGGAGGAGGAGAAGGTTTTTGAATAGCGTGCTGTATCTTAAACACTTTGATATGGTTATAAATGCCAAAACTAAACTGATTTTTCTTTAATTTTTGTTATGTTCTGATGCTCTGAAAACAAATATTTTATGTAAATGTGCGAAATACATTATTTTTTCATAAGCTTGTGATATTCTGTCTAGTGACATTTTTTCTACAAAATACTTTTTAACAAGGATCGAAACACAGTGTATATTTTTTTTCGAAAGTCACAAAGTTCCTATATGATTCAGCATACGGAGTACACCACTGTTAGCAGAAAAACACATTGGTAAAAATTATATTAAAAAAAAAACATTGTCTCTTCTCTCCTCTTAATTGGCCACTGAACAGGACCATCATTAGATAAAGATATTAAAAAGATTAGTGCATGCGCGATAAACAATGTAAATATAAAGCTGGAGCAAAAACATTTTTAGGCTATTGTTTTTAGCGCTCTGTCCACCACGGGGAATCAAACCTCGGAACTTAGAGTTGTAAGTCAGTGAACGTACTGCTGACCGACCGGTAGATACGTTTTTAGGATAAATTTTTCTAAAGTCCTATTTTAATCTGGAACAGCGAAATAAGCACACAGAAGTAGAAGTAGTAACGATGAAAGGAACTTTTTTTTTGGACAAAGAATTCGGCTCAAACCTGTTCGTTTTTTTTTTAAAAAAACTTTAATTTTTTTCTCTCGCAGTTAAAGTTTTAAAAAGATTTAGGTCACATTAAATCGAAGAGCAAGTATTTAACTTAGAAAAAATAATGTACGTGTTACACATTCACATTTTGTTGTTTGTTTGTAATTAAGCACAAGGCCACACAATGGGCTATCTGTGCTCTGCCCACCACGGGTATCGAAACCCGGATTCTAGCGTTGTAAGTCCGCAGACATACCGCTGTGCCACTGGGGGGCCCATAGTTATGTTTGTTTTTGAAAT